GTAGAAGAGGGATACCATCAAATTAAATTCATGCCATTGCATGTGTTGAGGCTTAGCACCCATGAGATCATAAATTTAGAGACCATCTAGTCCAACACTTTCATTTTATAGATGAGTAAATGGAGACCTAGAGAACCTCAGCACCTTGCCTCAGGTAGCAAGTGACTGGTATTTGAACTACAAATCTAGTATTTCTAGTGAAAACTATTTGAAGCCCTTCTTCCTGAATAACTTTCCCTCCAGTCTCAGGACAGATAGCCCTGATGTCTTAGGGCAAGATGACTCCTAAAACCTTTTTCTATAGCTTTTGCAGACATCATCATGGTCTGGATGATAAGTTGGAACTCACAGGGCTATAATCACTTTTGTGCCACTTGACTCCTCTCTACAAAGATGTCCTTTCTTCCTGCCTCTGCCATTCTCCGTAGGGTATTCCACCTCTTGTTAAATCTGCATTACAGAACCTGCTCACCCACTCAGAGTGTAGGTGAAATCACTATCCTGTAAGCTCATACATAGCTTCTTGGCAAAATGCAATACAGAAATTTCCTCCCAATGAGCGAGGCTTTCTCCTTCCAAGCACTGAATGAAATAAGGGTCCATGATCATATCTTCTAACTTTTTAATTTTTTCTAACTCCTCTAATTCTGACTCATATCTATTATTGTTCAGAGTGGACATTCTTTCTGTGTTGTTCTGATTTGGCTTTTCACGGGGTAAAGGGACTGGCTTTCCACCCAGGATGTCTGAACTCGGAATTTTTTCCTCCTAATCTCCTGAATCTTGCATCACAAGCATTTCTGTTATTAACCTTTGGATTGTATTACTGGTTGCTTTTTTGAGCTCTGGAATGGAGGATTGGGCTACACCCTCCTTACACAGATCAATCTTGTTTCATGCTCAAAACAAACGTATACACAACCTACTTGACTCTGTCTGAACCCTGCTTTGTGGGCCACCCAACAGGAGACCGATGAGCTTTGAACTCAGAGCTCCAGTAATTGTTGGAAAGTAGTCCAACTTCAATGCAGTGGATAATTTATCTCAGTGAAATTCTTATCTATTCTCAGGTCCCCACCCAGTATTGTTCAGATCATTTCCCAGTTTGTACCAGCTGTTGGCCTAGTTGGAAAAGCGGTAGTTTGTAAGGGAAAGAATAGAATTCCTAGGGCCCAAAATAGGCTGATCGCCTACACATATGAACCCATGTCAAGTAGAGAATGTGTTACAATGGGATGCCCCCTCCCCAAAGTGAAAGATTGAGTGATAACTAGTTTATGAGGTATTACTATTCTTTTATTTTTGGTTTTTCAGCTCTAACAGTGTCTCTCCCTGACCTGTTCATGACCCCAAAGCATTCTGTTGCATTCCAGAAGATGAAGAAGGCACATTTAGTGAACTCAAGTGTGTGTTTTTTTTTTGTTTGTTTGTTTTACCTATCTGGACTCTCATCAGTTATTCATAATGGAGACTAATGTATCCAGTGTTACTGTGAGAGCTACCATTTTATAGGTCACACTGCAAGTGACCTATACCAACTCTATACATGGTAGTTTTGCTGCACGCTTAATATCAAAAAGAAAATATTACTAGATCAGAGGAGTTACTTGAGGTCAGAGCCATTTTCAATAAAAAAGATGCTATCGTCATTGAGTGTACAAATATGAAGCGCCTTTAACTGGCCCATCTGTTGAAACAAAATCAGGTCATTTAAGTGTTCTCTCTTTTCAGAAGGGGGCTCAGTGGATAGAACACTGGACTTGGAGTGAAGAAGACTTGAATTCAAATCTAGCTCTGTGACCCAGGGCAAGTCACTTAGCCTCTGCCTTCTCATTGATAAAATAGAGATTATAGTAGCACCTTTCTCCTGGGATTGTGTGAGGATAAAGGGAGATAATATTTGTTAAATGCTTTGTATTTTCTAGCTCTTATATAATAGAGGTAATTTATCTTCCCCTACATCCCAGGTACCATAACTAGCAGGTGGGTACACTTTAATGGACACCCTAAATCCAGTGAATTAGCTTAATAGGTGTTCCCAAAGATCATAAGCTTTGCAACTCTTTAGCCTCAGCCAGACCTACAGGACCTGACCTGCCAGCCAGCAGGCACAGAACACCTATATCTAGTCCCAGTTGTGCTTGGAGGATGTACATGCTCCAGGCTCCCAGCTGGCATGAGCCTGGCATCCAAAGACTTTCTCTGTTGACAGGCTTTTGCGCCTGAAGTCCTTCCTAGAGAAGCCTTGTGGGCAATGTTCCATCTCTGCTGGGACAACCCAGCTGCTGGCTATGTGGGGCCTATTTAAAACCTTACATGTGGTCACTTGAGAATGCTGGTGGCCATATCTACAAATAAAACAGCTGCTAGTATTTTATTGTACCTTAGTCTTTGAGGTACATGCCCAGGCTGTGGACCCTGCGGGGGAAGTTAGCAGGCTTGTTTCAATACCTGCCAAATTCCCTTTGCCTCCAGGTGGTGGTGATGCTGAAATTCACCATGGACCACCTGCCATCCCAGGTGTATGATGCTAAAGTGGTGATCAAAAGTTCTGGCGCCTCTGATGTAGCACCTGAGAGTCAGAGAACCATGAAGGAGCCCACAGGATAACCACGTGGTGAATTGATTCCCCAATATGTGCAGCCCAAGAAAGGACGGGGAGAGCTGGTTCCATTGCCTGAGATAGGCTCTCTCATGCTTACTCTAGGGGAGAGGTATCAAACACAGTCCCCTCCCCAGTGTAGACGGAACCAGATTAAAATGCAATTGGCAAACATTTAACAGAAATAAATAAAAATGCAATAGACCATAGATAACACTGAATATATAGTTTTCTAAATCAGTATGTGAGTTATATTGTAGCCAATGTGCGTCCTTCTGGACTGTTTAGTGGACCGATTGAGTTGGATGCCATTGTTCCAGGCCACTTGGTATGGACTTCTAAGAATGGGAGACTTTTAGGAAACAGAAGAATCTCTTCTTTAGATCAGAGGATTGTAACCCAGGATCCACAAGCTTGTTTTTAAAAATACTTTGATAACTATATTTAATTATGATTAGTTTTCTTTGTAATCCTATGTATTTTATTTTAGACATTTAAAAACATTATTCTGAGGAGTCCATAGGCTTCCCCAGATTGCCCAAGGGGTCCATGACATTTATAAAAAAAGAAAGAGTAAGAACCCCTGAACTAGATTCATATTCTTGAAAGATCCAGTACCCAAAAACATAAAATCCAGCTAACCCCAACTCCAGCAGCGGGCTCCCAACTGTTCCCAAGCTCTTGGAAAGTTCCACACCAATGATAATGCCATTTTGCCTCCTCTAAAGACTTTTCCTTTTCAGCCAGGTCATAATCAAAGTCAATGGTAAAAGCAGGAGACCTTCTGAAGTCTTATGAATGGCAAACCCATTTCCTTGGGAGCAGGCTCATAAAAATGAATACTTAGACTAATGTCAGTGACATCTCACCTATGTAGAGAGCTTTAAGGTTTACAGATCATTTTTCTCCCACCAGTTGTGTGAGATGGGTTGTATGTCTTATCACCCCTATTTTATAAATTAGGAAACTGAGACTTAGAAAAGAGGAAATGATTTGCTCATGGTCACAGAATAATGTGTCAGAGCCTAGATTTGATCTAATATCTCAAAGCAAATACACTTCAATTTGACATTATCTCTGATGTTAACAAATCTTTAAAAATTAAGGAAGGGTGAGAGGGAGCAAAGCTATTTAAGGAAACTTAAAGGAAACCCACCTTCAAAATGTTCTTTAGAAAGCAAATGCTAAGTCAGTCAGTGTTTTCAGAAGACACTTCAAGGATTAGAGCTTGAATAAAAAAAGGCTAAACCCTGTTGGGAAATGTGAGAGGTGGGGGACTGTGGGGTCAGAATGTTACATACATACTCTAATATTGTTTTTGCTTAGTAGTTTCTGATTGTTACAAAGAAGGGTTCCATTTTGTGTGTATGTTATTGTGGTGGGGTAATATCTAGAAATGACTATGTTACAAAAACAAAGGCACCAGGAAAACTTACTTTAAAAAAAAGTGTTCTGGTTGTACCATTTCACCCTTAAGAAGTGTGAATGCTCAAAGAAAGACAGCAGTCACGAATTTCCAAGGCCAACATAGTCGTGATTTAATTTTATCCTCACTGGCTCTTGGAAAATAATTCAACAATGATGGCTCTTTCCCCTAAGGCATAAAATTGAGTTCAGATGGGTTCTGATGAAATAAAATTCTCTGCAAATGATGCACTGGGGAAATGCAAACTTTCAGAGAAACACAGGAAAAAGAGGAGGAGAAAACAGGCCAACACTGAAGCTTTGTATGACAGAGATCAGCAAATGCTCCATTCCGCAGGGGAGCGTCCTAATGCAATGAGCTGATGTCGACTGATTTTTACATGGCATTGAAGTCAACCCTTCTATCCCAACAAATGAGCCTGAATTTCCATCTAACCTAAGTCAATACAGACAGCTACAGTTCAAAATGAATTTTTTTCCATTAGCATAATGGACTGCAATAAAAAGCACTGGCCAAGTCTTGGTCTCATCATCGTGGCATTTATAGCCCTGATTTTAGTAACTGAGAGGGTGATGTTATTTCACCTATCCCCATTTTAACTTTCCATACTCTTCATTTTTCACAACTTCTATTTTGCTTGTATGTGTTTTGTTTACACATCTACACACACTTTGCCAGACTAATGGGCAAACGAGGCTTCTGGCTCTGCTTACCATTACCCTTCACTGTTTCAAGGCAAACTCTCCTAAATGACAATGTTGTGGAATCTCCCCTCCCCTCCTCGCACTGCTAAAAACAGGCCTCGTTCTGCTGCTTTGAATCTTAAAGGAAAAGAGATGAGATCATTTTATGCTTGGAGAGCGAATCCAGGCGGTGAGTGATTGACATTAGTGAATTCAATTGCACAGGAAACAGGTGTTAAAATGACTTTTTCTATCCTATTAAGTATCCTCTTCATACACTGATTCACAGACATGTTTCCATTCTGATAAGTGAGGAGCCAAGCCTGTAATTTGTCCGCCATATCCATCCTTCGCACCCCACCCCCGGCAGCAAGTTCTTCTTCAGTTACTGCGAAAATTGTCTATTGCTCTTCATAAGCTTCTGCCCAAGGTGAGTGATAGAAGGATGAACCTGTGAAATTAAACATCGAGAAGCAGAAAGCATGTAATTTAACAGGACTAGCATGCGATGACGTCCGTCCGGCTAGACCTTCATCTGAGTTTTGAGAGTTGGGCCCCGCCTTCCAGTTTTGATTCACTTTCTCACAGAAGTTTAAACTTCCCAAACCTTCAGTGTTCAAAATACGACCTCCATCTTTGTCTCTGTTTTCTAAATCTCTATTTCGATCTCTGTCACTCTATCTCTGTCTCTCCTCTCTCTGTCTCATCTTCCTTTCTGCCTCTTTTATCTCTGTATCTCTCTCTCACATATTGAAGCCCATGTCTATCTGATAACCACCAACCATGTTCTCCATGTGAATAGCCTAGATGCTCTCAAACATTCTGTTTCAATGTAACGAGACAATTTTAACTTAAACTCCAAAGTTCACAGGCTGTGGACGAAGGTTTCCATCATGGAAAAAGGTTGTCTTTTTTTTTTTCAGGGGTCCTGGGAGCTAGTCTTCCATTGGCTACCTAGCTGTATGACTTTGGACATGTCATATCAATTTTATAGACCTCAATTTTCTCATCTATAAAAAGAAGGCATTGGTCTTGTTAGCCTCTAAGGTGCCTTCCAGCTTACATATTCTGTAATTCTCCTAGGGCACGTGTCACTTTTTAGCCCACAGGCCACATCATATGGTAAAACGGTTCCATAGTTGTTGTATAGAGCAACTAAATAGAATTCAGCATCAGTGGAAAATGGCAACGGCTTGTGTAAGTGATCCCTTGCCCAGTTTGTCTTAAAATTTCATATTTTGCCAGCTTTGTTTGTGTGTTTCTGTGTGTGTGTGTGTGTGTGTGCTCTTGTGTAAAGGGCATAAAAATGTACCTTTTTCAACTTATGTGAAGAGGCATAAAACTAAAACCATAGTATTTAGAAAACTAATAGCTAAGAGGACCAACCTTAGGGTAACACAAATCCTCCTCCCCATCTTTTTTTTTAAAATTTTCCCCAAATATACCATGTCTTTAATGTTCTGGGGAGCTGCTCCTTCCAATCTCTGGTACTACTTACTCTGTCACTGGTCTCTGACTTCCAGGCTTTCCTTCTGCCTTTTACAATCACCTTGGCCTTTCTAGGGAAGATTAAGAATGGTAAAAAAAGAAAAATGGAAAATGTACCAGGCTGGAAAACAAAGTGACCTGAAACCAAGACAGCTAATGATGATACTGAAAAGTGACATGGAACAGCTTTGAATTCACAGGCTGATAGATTTGATGTAACCTTCACAGATTACCCTGAAGGCAAGAGAAACTCTGATGCTGCTTTCTCACTTGAAACCTTGGAAACATTTTTGGTTTCTGGGATCCAGAGTTTATAGGGCATATATTGGCTTTTTAGAGTAGATGGTTTTAAAGTTTTTTTTATTAGAACACATTGTAAGCATATTTATATATATATAATCACACATATACATGTATGTATACATATATGTACATATCCATTGTAGTACTAGATAGCTTAGTAGCAGGGGTGGGGAACCCATGGCCTTGAGGCCACATGTGGCCCTCTAGGTCCTTGAGTGCATCCCTTTGACAGAATTCAAACTTCACTGAAGTTCACTAATTAGAATTCAACATCAGAAACCAACTTCACTGGTTTGGATTCAGTCAAAGGGCCACACTTGAGGACCTAGAGGACCACGTATGGTCTTGGGGTCACGGGTTCCCCATATCTGGGTCTCAGTGGATAGAGTGCTAAACTTGGAGTCAAGAACTGAGTTCAAATCCTCCCCTAGATACTGCATGACCCTGGTCAAGTCATATAACTCATTTTCCCCATCTGTAAAATGGGTTTAATAATAGCACTTACTTCAAAGGGTGGTTGTAAGGATCAAAAGAAATAACAATGTAAAGTGCTTTGTAAACCTTAAAGTTCTATACAGATGGTAGCTATAATATAATGATAACACTGTGTATATGTGTACATATATGTGTGCATATATTCATATGTAAAGTACTTTGCAAACCTTAAAGTTCTATATAAATGTGTATATATACACATATATAATATTGTAACTATATTGTAGCTAGAATTTATGTAGAACTTTAAGGTTTACAAAGCACTTTACATATATTTCACACGTATATTTTATATACATATATACACACATACATATATATTACATCCACCCTTCCACACATCCAATACATACAAACTTACCTTTATCCTAAATTGGAAAACGAACAAATACAGTTTTTATTTTTTTCCTATGCTACTTTTTTTTGACTGCTAAGAAAGCTAACATAATCTTAGGTGGCATTTACATTGCAACCTTGCATTAACATTAACAGATGGTGCCTTGAGCAAAGGAGGTGCTAATCCTACCATCTTTTGCCCTGGTTGGACCACATCTGGAATTATATCACACGGAGTTCTCTGGGTTGCATTTCAAGAGAGCCATTGATGTTAAGGGGACTTGAAACCATGGAATTAGCTAAAAGGAGGTGGGCATGTATAACTTAGAAAAAGACTTGTCAGGGGACATGATAGCTATCTTCAAATGGCAGCTATCTTCAAATGACTGAAATGCTACTGTGTGCCAGAGCAATTAGATTTATTCTACATGATTACAGGGAACAGAACTGGGATCAGTGAATGGAAGTTTACAATGAGGTAGGTTTGGGTTCAATGTAAGAAAGAATCATGTATGTATTTTATTGTTATCTTGAACTTAACATAAAATGAGTATTTCCACATACATCATAGAACAGGAGAGGATTGTGTGTGGAATTTCAAATTTCTGTTGTGTAGAGCTTGCTTTTCTTTTAAAGTATATAATAAATTCAACATATAACTTTTAAATCTGTCCTGATTGTCTGTGATTCTTTCCACTTCTTTCAATTTTTCTAAGGAAGAACTTAACAATTAGAGCTGATCTAAGATGAGAACAGGCTGTTTCTGGGATAGCAAACTCCCTGTCAATGGAGGTCTTTAAGTGGAAGGAGGTATGACTATTTGCTGGGGAAGGTATAGGGGTTTCTTCCTTTAAGAGACGAATTAGGCCAGATCAGAAATCAGCAAGCTTTTAAGGGAGAAGAAGCCTTGGAATGTTAGTCTTATAATCTATTAAAGGACCTATATATGTGTATATACATATATGTACATCTGCTTATGTACATACATGTAGGTATACAACATACACACACTCACATATACATGTGTATATATGTGCATGAATACACACATACACATGTGTATATGTAAATGTCTATATGCATACACAAATACACAAGCGTGAAATGTCACAAAAACTATAACTTAAAATCACACTAAGACTCTTTTAATACACCCTGTACAATCTCACACATATATTCAATTGATGCAATACTGATTTTGTAACAACCTCATCTATACTAATTAATGTATTTTTTATTGTTTCATTTAAATTATAGTCTATTATATTATTGTAACCTATATAAGGCTGTGCAGTAGATACAGTGCCAGGTCTGAAGTCAGGAAGGCTCATCTTTTCTGAGGTTAAATCTGGCCTCGGACATTTACTAGCTATGTGACCCTGGGCAAGTCACTTAACCCTGTTTGCCTCAGTTTTCTTATCTGTAAAATGACCTGGAGAAGGAAATGGTAAACCACTCCAGCATTTCTGGCAAGAAAACCCCAAATGGGGTCATGAAGAGTCAGACATGACTGAAATGACTGAACAACAAAAAACTTGCATAAATTAAATGCAAATAAAACTTTCAGAGTGTCAACATGTTTAATTTTTACACTAGATTAGGGAGACCAAATAATAATTTGTTGTCTTCAGAAGGACCTGTGGATGTCTGGTACCTGGAGAGGGAACCCTAAGAATGTCCTCCTATACTCTTCTCCCCATAGCATAAGACTAGAGTGCATTTATCAGATTAGTTTATTGTCATCTTCCAACAGAGGGAGAGTCTGGTCCTGAGGGGATGATGTATATAGGACAGGAGACAACAGATGGAGGCAATAAAAGAAGAGATGTAGGGCAGCAGTGAGCCCTGGGGGAGGGAGGGAATGTGACAGTTCTAGGCTGGAACTCTCCACACTTTCAGGGTTAGGAGTTTCCAAAGGGCTTCTGGGTTATTAACGAGATGAGTCAACAGCCAGGTATAGGCTCATAGGTTTATTTTGGGTGAAAGAGCTTAAAGTCTGTATTTAAAGAGCCACTCCTTTCCTGGCCTCTGAATTAGATTATCCCTAGACTTTCTGGGATTTCTTTTTTACTAAAAGGGACAAATGATTCGTAAACAATCTCATAACAGGTTGACAATAACAGGAAACACTTCTAGAGTATGTCATAGGGTCACTTCAGTTCAGTCTGCTTTTCACATATACATTACAAATTTTATATGAAAATATATGAATGATGTAAAATAAGGAAAATATGATTCTTGTCCTTATCAAGTTTAGAATTTAGTAGGAGGACTATTAATGATTAGCCAGATATTTGATTATCTATTATGTTCCTAGCACTGTGTTAGGTTCAGTGGGTGATTCCAAAAAGAAGCATGTAATAATAGCTAGCATTTACATTGTGCGTTGAAGTTTGCAAAGGGTTTTACACATATTATCTCATTTGGTCCTCACAATAACCCTGGGAGGTAGGTGATATTATTATCTTCATTTTACAGATGAGGAAACTGAGGCAGGTAGAGGTTAAGTGACTTGCCCAGCGTCACACAGCCAGTGAGTGTCTGAGGCCAGATTTGAACTCAGATCTTCCTAACTTCAAGTTCAGCACTTTATCCACCATACCACCTAGCTGCCTCAAGGTACTTATAATTTTTTTTGGGGGGGGAAGGTGATGTCATACATGAATAGAAGAGAGTCATAAGATAACATATGATTAAATGCAATAGCATTTTGGAAAAGGGAGAAACAAGTATGGGCTAGTCTTGTATAGTATGACTTTGTTGGAAAGGTGGTACTTGATATGGTTGGGTAGGATTTAAACAGGCAGAGAGAAGGGAGCAGCATATTCAGGTGGAATGGATTGATTGCATGAGCAAAGACATGGAGGTGGAAATGAATATGGTTTGTTCAGAGAGCAGAGAGAAAACTCTCCTGACTGCAACAGAGTAGAGCTAAATGAGAGAAATGAAAATATGAGAAAGATAAAGGAGCCGTATTATGGATGGTCTAAAAAAACTAGCAAAGAAGTTCATATTTAATGCAGCAGGCAGCAGGGATTCATTGAAGATTCTTGAATAGGAGGCATTTAGAATAGGGCAAGTTAGGAAGGTTTTTCTAGCAATAATTCTAAAAGAAAGTGCCAAGCATCTGTCACAGTTTTTAGATTACATGTAAGCATTAATTTAATTGTTAATACTCTAAATATGTGATCTTTGTCCAATCATCAATGAGTTGATACAGCGCTAGACGAAATGAACCTTTGTAATACTGATGTTCTCCTTAAGGATGAAACCAGAAGACAAAAAGAAATAACAGCTAAATCAAAAATAAGACTTTATTAAACATCTGTTATATTCCAGGCACTGTGTAAGGTGATAGAGATGCGAAACCCCAAATGAAATAGTTATTGCCTTCAGAGAATTTACATTTTATTAAGGCAAATGTTTTTGTTTTTTTTTTATGGGGAGGGAACAAGCAGTTATTAAGCTCCTACTTTGTACCATCGGTTTTGCAAATTAATCTTCATGATAAGCCTGGAAGGTAGGTGCTATTATGATGTCTATGGAGGTTAAGTATCTTTTCCAGGGCTGTACAGCTAGTAAGTGTCTGAGGCCAGATTTGAACTTAGCTCTCTATCCACCGCACCATCTAGCTGCCTCTGATGGGGAGTGGGACAAGAGCAGGTACTAGCTAGGAGGCTCAAGAAAGGCTTCACGTAGAAGGCCTGAGCTTTGAAGAAGACTTAAGGCTTCAAAGAGGCAGAGGTGAATGTAATACATTCCAGGCATTAGGGGAGAGCTTTAGCAAAAGTGAGATAACAGTAGGACAGAGGTAGGTTTGCCATGCTTCTAAAAGCAATAAGAAATTTATATCTTTAGTCACCTTGGCCTGCAGTACTAATGGTGAGCATGGGCAAAAGATCGCCATGAAGATATTATTCATCACATTTGTTACAAAGGACGAAGATGTGATGAAACTCTACAAAGAACTTGGCAACACCCAAAATAAAATACTCAGGGACTTCAACAAAAAATGTGGACACAGGAGAAAAAAGCAAAAAGTATGCATTCTAGAAAATATAATTTGAAATTAAGAAATGAAAAGGACCATTGTTGTTGTTTAGTCGTGTCCAATTCTCTGTGACCCCATTTAGTGTTCTCTTGATAAAGATACTAGAGAGGTTTGCCATTTCTTTCTCCAGTTCATTTTACAGATAAGGAAACGAGGCTAACAGGGTTAAGTGACTTGCCCAGGGTCACACAGCAAGTAAGTGTCTCAGGTCGGATTTGAACTCAGATCTTCCTGACTCCAGGCCTGGCACTCTATCCACTGTGCCGCATAGTAGCCCCATCTCCAAGCATATTATGATCAAGAGGAGAGACAGAAGTCATTGAATATGGTGAGCACTGAACATCGCTATGAAAAATAAAACTATCTCTTCATAGGCTGAAAATGCCTGATTATAGGAAGTTATTTCAGAATCAATTGTGTGTAGATCATTGACTAGTTAAAGAAAGGTAAAAATCACTGCCAATTAGAAGGAAGAATGGAGATGAGAAGGTTACGCTGGAGGAAATTACAACCATTACAACCTAACCCATTCAAACCTGTTGAAACAACAAAAACAAAAA